TATAATTAGCTATTATTTAATTAGTTATTATATAATTAATTATGTATTTAATTAATTTTATTATGCTATGATGAGGTGTTTTATTTTGAGTTTTAACAGAAAGTGGGGCCGAAATAATTTTTGGAGTCGAAAACAGCGAGAATCAGTCGAAGACGGTGTACAAGCTAGGTGTGGAACATGCCCAAATAAAGGCTGGCTATTAACTAAAGAATATTGGGCCACATGCAATCAACTCATTTGGAAATTAAATAGGTACTTGAGCTGGCCCATGAGCCACTTAAGTGAGGGATTAAAAGGGCATTTCCATACAAGGCTTCTTCTTCACAAGAACGTACACAGCACGTCCATCCGCCATGAAAGCTATTGAAGCTTCGTTGCTGCTCCACCACCTCGACACCGCGCCGCCACACGTCACCAGAACACCTCGTCGCTGCCAGACTGTCGCTGGAGAAGCAACCTAGACGTCAAATTCCACCGTAGAAAAGCTGGTGACGGAGCCGCCGGAATTTGACCGGAGCTCGCATGGCAGTCCACCATGATGTCTTCTGAGCACATTTACTCCACGTACAACTACCAAGAGATGCCTGAGAATCCGTAGAACATGCCAGGATCCGACGACAGCCCTGAAATTGAAGTTCCAGACTCACACGGGTCGTGTGACTTTCGACACAACTCGTGTCATTCCGACGGGTCGTAAAGTGAGCTCTCGACTTTTTCACATGACTCGTGTGGCTAGTGACACGAGTCGTGTGACCCTGGGCGCAGTAAAATCCAGTTTTACGCGTTTTTCCTATTTTTTCGATATTTTCGACCTATTTCGACTAGGACTCGACTACAACTATTTATACAACCCTTGGACACGTTTTGGAGGAGTCTGGGACCTAATTTTCAGATCTTTGGAGAGCTTTGGAGGCTAGAAACACGAGCAAGACGAGGGAGAAAGCCTGGGAAGAAAGGATCGACGGAGCTGAATAAATTTTTTCTTTCTTTTTCTTTTCTTCTTTCGAACTCAATGTTTTATATTTATTTTGAAAACATGTTTCTAGGCTAGATTTATCTTAGATTCTAGGATTTGTTAGTACTCGGATTGATTTATGATTTAGTTTTTATTTATTTCATTTCGGTTTATCTTTCGTTTATGAATTTCTTTTGCGTATATTTATTGTGTGAGTAGATGGCCACTATGAATGCATATTTGCGGTCGATTTGTGACCGAGAGGAGATAATTGATTGATAGAATTGGGAAATTTATAACGTATGAGACTAAACAGACCGAGAGGTTGATAGAATCTTACGAGAGAACGAAAATCCTAGGAACTTATGGGAGTTAGTTGTTCATCGTGAGACCGAGAGAAGATAATTGATTGCTAGAATTGAGAAATTTATAACGTAGGAGACTAAACAGACCGAGAGGTTGATAGAATCTTGCGAGAGAACGAAAATCCTAGGAACTTATGGGAGTTAGTTGTTCATATTGAGACCGAGAAGAGATGGATAACAATTAATATCTACGATTTGCTTGTTCGAGAGAAAGGTTGAAATCAATTTAGCGATTATCTCTACGATTGGTAAAATTAAATAAGGTTTGTTTGAATATAAACGTTTCATGAATTAATTCCGAGGAACACTTAACCTAGAATCTATCTTTTGCATCTTATTTTATTTTTATTTCATTAGGTAAATTAGTTCTTAGTTTAATTTCATAGTTTAAAATCATCATCTCATTCGTTAGTCTAAATAATATTTAATTATCATTATTTTAGTATTTAATTAATTTAACTACAATCTCTGTGGAATACGACCTTGCTCGCCACTACCTATACCTACGTCGTACACTTGCGGATAGCAAAAATAATTAGCGAACAAGTTTTTGGCGCCGTTGTCGGGGATTGTTTGTTGAATTAATTAATATTAGAAGAAAGCGAATAGATATTAGTTTAGACATTTTTTTATTTTTTTGTTATTTTATTTTTCTTTTTCTCTTTTCTAATATTTCTTTCTGTTTTTTGTGAGATGGCA